AATTCAACCATCCAGGGTCCTTCTTAAACACTAGGAATGTGTCCACAAATAACTTGCTGGTTCAGAACTTGGATTTCACAAGAGTAATTCTTTAAATTACTCACTGTTACTTTGTAGCATTTATGTTGTTTTCTAGAGCTAACCCCCCCCCCACACACAGCATGTGCTAAATTTTCATTTTATTGAGCAGTCACCCCATTTGGTTCACGGTAGATGTAAGAATATGTCCTCTGTGATCCCAAGTAAAAAAAAAAGCTAGTTCTCTTCCCATTTGCTTCAATGGACACAAGCAGAGTTTGTAGAATTTCTGTTTGGCTTTGGTTAGACAAATTGTTGCTCAAAGAATTTTTATCAAGGTGAGAAACAGTCATTTTCATCAAGGTGAGAAACAGCCTTGAGAATAATGTGTTTTGCCACAAAATACACAGGCAGGTTTCATAGGTTTAGTACCCCAAACTTGATCATTAGCCGTCAAGACAGAAATTTTGCCTTTTACATACTTCTGATTTTTACTCAAAATTTGATTTGATTGAAGACCAGCTTTGGATAAAGAAATCTGTTCTTTACCAACAATTTCCATGTGAAGATACAACAATAACTGAGATAGTTTATCCCCATAAGAGTATTTTCCTTCTTTATTAATAACTAGATTATGTAACAAATTTTTGGACAAGCATGATTCTACCAGGCATCATACTTGTTAGTACTTATGCCAATCAACTCTAAAGACCTCAGATATGATGCCAGTCTATCATACAGCTCTACGATGTTCATTTCCACGTTCATAGCATTTTTTACTACGAATGTTAGGAGTTCACAAACATATACTCAACAAGTAGTTCTTCATGGCAAAATCTTGTTTTTAGGCTATCAATGGCTTTTTCATAGTTTTCAGCTATCTAGCTATCTACAATTTCTCGGGCTCTACTGCCAATTGTGTCTCCAAAATGTAAGTTTTTTCACTTCCAAGCTACATTTAACCAATTCTTTCTCAGGCAGTTTTAATTTTACTTTTTCTCTTGCACTCATCAACAATGGTTCATAAAAATTTGAAAGTTTATCAAGATGTGCTTTAGTACGAATGAAAGCTATATCTAATTTTTCTTGATATTCTTCAACTTTCTTGTATTCAACATAAAAAACTTCAGATTTCATGTCTATTCAAGCAGTATGAATTTTATTATCCAATTCAATCTGTAGTAATTTGCTCTAAAGAAGATTATTTAATTTCAGTTTCCTCATGTTTTAAATCTGTTTCAGTTTAAGATGCTATTAATGAATTGTTATGGTTCATGAATGTTGGTCTAACAGGAGTTCCTACTTTTAATAGTATTTTCCATATTTATAAAATCTCAAGCCAATGTTAACAAACTGATTGACGGTTATCTCTAAACATCACATCTGCATGTCACCACAGTGTTAAAAATGGACAGATTACTAATATACTTTCTCATTATACTTTTATTATAAACTTATTCTTTAAAAACCAAATTAAATTTTAAGCATAAACAGTGATACCACCTGCATCAAGAAAATTATTTCATTACACTTGTTGCCAGATTTGCTTTGTGGCTACCTAAAGGGAGTAATTATGCGACCGATAGATTATTTGGGACACATTATAACAGACATTTTTCTTCAATACACCCTTTCTCTGTCATAGAGGAGGCACCATGCAGAAATAGCAACCACTGACATAATCTGATGTTTCTCTCTGCACCATTAGGACTGCAAAGTGCATTATATTTTTGTGATTTAATGAGTTTCACAGACCTGGAGCACAGCTTTATACATGAAGAGAATTAAGCTTCTCCAATTTTTCTTCTGCTACTTGGAATTGGAAACAAGCCAAACCATCATTTTTGTGGAAATACACTAAATTTTAAGCTTCTTTGCTATTTCAACTCTTTTTTTTTCTATGTTTTCATTTTTACTTAAATATTTTTCTCCAATAACTTGTGCTGTACTTACAAGCTCTACACCGCTGTCTTCTATTCCTTATTAGTCCAAAGGGGCATTGTCCCTGAGGGACAACTGTTTTGATTTTGCGATTTTGCGTCGAATCACTCTGAATGTCCGTTTCCCTTTCCAAATTGTTGCCACCAAATATTATTGCCCTGTATTATGTCTGAAAAATTAAATAATGAAGAATCTGCATAAATGTATGTTTCTCACATTGTCATAAAACAGTAGTACCTAGAACCATCAAATTTTGAATAACATAATCCTCTTGCAAATAAGGGCATCTGGAAGACCAAATTTGAAATTTGTTTTATTATTGACTTCATATTTGTAAAACTTTAACAAATTTTTGATTAACAAACTCAAGGATTTCAAAGCGAGCAATGGCAACGTTGTACAGAAAAAACATTTTTATCTCCAGCGTGTGAGACTGTGTATTGGAAATTCTACAGATATGCTCAATTTAAAATTATTTTTGATATTGTTATTGAACTCAATTTTATAGTTTAAGTGCAAAGAACATGACATTAAATAAATAAAGGTAGCACATAAAATGTTAAAAACCACATGGATGTAATTTAAAATCTGAAAATTTCATATTTTATTTTTTTAAAATTCATTTCTTCTTACTTCACTTTATTTCCCAACAGTAGTTCACTTTATTATTATTTATTAATCACACTGTCTACTCAAAACGACACTCTCAAACTTGCATTTTGTTGAGGCACCTTCCTGCTGTTATGTTATTTTCAACAAATTCATCTCACACTCTTCCTTTTGAGAATCCCATAAATATTTTCTGTTCATGAAGGATATACAATTTGACTCGTATACAAGCACAATCAACATAAGTATTATGAAGGCAGAAACTACGAGGAACAGAAATTCATGTTCAATAGGTATGTAATAATTTAGATGTTTATTAAAATCCAGCTGGACTCATTTTACTTCCCGAGAAAACAATGCTTTAATTGCAGACAAGTTCACTAAGTTCGCTCCATGAAAATATAGATAAATTGGTGCTAAGTGTGACTATTCTTTAATAAATTTTCCCATTTCTGAAATAAGGAAGAAAAGATATGGCAGCAAGGCAGTAACAAAGGAATGAAATAGAACATCTCGTAGATCTGGACAACACCGGCTCAGTTACAGTATTGATTCATTCCGACTGGCTGTCGAGAGCTTTGCCAGAATTAATGAATTAATGTTTTTATTGCATTAACTCACACAGTACGCTGAATGATGTCTTCATAGCAAGGTTACTGATTACTGTGACAGATGCCAAAGTGAAAAATGGCCTTTTGTTTCCTTGCAAGCATATCAAACTGTATATCATAAAGGCACTGATAAAAGTACTGTGACAATATTGCAATTTATGAAATCAAATTTTATCAGACATTCACAATGTGCATATAAATAATTCCAGGAACAAAACATAAATCATGATTTCAGTGCTAGAGAATGCATTATCAGAGGAAGAAACCCAAAGGCTTTTTTGATTCTGATGTTAGTACAGCAATTGGTGGATTTTTAATGATCTCCCAATTCAGAAGCAGCAATGAAAAAAAAAGTCTTGTCTGGAGACACTGCTGTCATGCCATTATGCCTAAAGGAATTACACAGAGTGACAGTGCCATAGTATAATCCTACACATTTTGCTAAAGCAAAGAACTATGATCTCTGCATTATTATTTTCAAACAATATTAGTAATAACAGAAATATAGCAATATCCAATTCTATTCTGAGATTCTATCACACTGCAATCAATCTACTGTTGAAATAGAATGTTAAAACATGCAGGTACAAGTAGAAGCTAGGACAGCATCCCCTAGGTGATTGAGGTATTGCTGAATCTAGCTAAGTGCTAAGCTTCTGCCCCAATTTTGAGGCAGAAATCCCAGGGAGGCAGTCTGAGGGTCTCCCACCACTTCCCCTACAAACCACCACTCAGGAGGACTTTTGGATCACCAAACATTTGAGTGCCCCTATGCCACACAGACACTATACACTTAAAAACATCCATGCCTTCTCTGGGATTTGGAACCTGGGCCCATTGGTACAACAATCAACAACACTAATCACTAAACTGGGTGGGCGGCTTTTAATACATGCATGATTTAAAAAAAATTCGAGTACTGTTCCAGAGCAAAATTCAGCTTGCTTATTAATATTTATGAAGAGGACCCTCTGAAGGTTAGGGCCTTTTGCAATTGAGGATGTTACGAGGCCCCTAAATGAGCCCTGCCTTAAAGACACTAAGTGCAACATTTGAATTTTCAATGCTTTGCATAAGAGAATGTTTATGAAGTCATTATCATGACTTTACATATGAATTAAGGGAAAAATTTAAATCTAGCAAAAAAAAAAAAAAAAAAAAAAAAAAAAAAAAAAAAAAAGAAGTAATTCAAATTATGCAAGGAACTGCATACTACAGAAGTTAAGGAAACTAGTTTTAGAAAACTATATTTAAATTAGATGTTATTTAACATGCAAACTGACATGAGTATAAGATTAATTACAAATATATAATCTGCAATTTTCAAATATTCTGAAGTTTCATTTAGCTATTTCTAAGAGAGTGAAATACATAAGGCATAAATTAACTGTTCATAAAATATATTTACATGAGTTTTTATTATTTACTAAAGCACAGAATACAATTTTTGGACATAAAAGAGAAATGATTAAACAGAGCTCAGAATTAAAAAAAAAAAAAAAAAAAAAAAAACAATCTCTAACATGAATAAGAACGTTAATTAAAGATTTTTTTCCCCCTTCTGCCCATTTAGTGCTTTTTAAATAGAACTTCAGAGTAAGTATTACAAGGTTAAAAGTTCTACTAGTACATGTCATTAAGGTAACATTCAAAGAAATGAACATGAAGTAGAGCAGATTAAAAAAAAAAAAAAAAAAGAAGAAGAAGAAAACTAAAGCTATATTATTTTGACAGAATTTACAGTGTACAATAAACGAGTGCATACTGTATGAGGAGTGAAAAACGAAAAGTACTGCTGTTCCTTTAAAATTTAAGAAAGGATGCACCTACAAAATCTTTTATTTTGCATATTAAAGGTTCTACAAAATCTTTTAATTTGCATATTAAAGGTTAAGAGTTCAGTTCCAAGTAACTTTTCTCTGATCTGAGTCAATTTTAAGCTGAAACTGAATAAGCTAATGAGTATTTTTTTTCACACATACAAAATGTGATCAGTTTTCTTTTTTTGACCTTTTTTCTAAAAACATACACTTTTAAGAGCAGCAAAATTTTTAACAGCACTAAAAATCACTTCAGTAAATATATTACAGATTTCAAATACAACAATATAAAATAAAAAGTATAAAAATGTATTGAATTTACAATTAAAATATAGTACATTAGTAGTGCATAGTTTAATATTACAGTATCTCATTAAGTTTAGAATTTTTGCATAGTACAATAGACTCCCGATTATCCGAGGTAATACCAGGAATGACGTTCATGGTTAATCCAAAATCACAGTTAGTCTGACAGCAGTTTAAGATGTAACACAAAGGAATAACCCATATTATATATAATTAATAGACATAATAATAAAAAAAAAAACACTTTTAACAATTTACCTGCATCTGCATTTTCAAGCCATTTAATCTGCGGAATAAGTCCATTTGACTGTAAATTAAATCAGCACTTAAGAGAACAACACTTTAAAACATAAAGAACAAAGTTCTTGTTTACATGATTCTGATATTTCAGTAGTATTAGTATTCAATGGGAAGCAAAATTTACGGCAGTACACATAATATATATTTATGATTTAGAAACTGATTTTAAACAATTGATTTAACAAGGTTTACATATTCCAGATTATCTCTATGATTAAATCATGTAGTTTTGTGAATAAAAACAATTCCTAAAGACTGCAACAGACATGCTATCATTGCTGTTATCCTAAACATTTTCTTCTCTTTTTTTGTAATTTCCCCAGAAATTTTGCTTTATTCCGATTGTTTGTGACTGTAACTTTCCCATTATTCTGCGATAAACAAACTTCACTTTTTTTGGACTAACTCTAGCTAATCAATCCTACCCCCCGGTTAATTGGGAGTTGACAGTATATAGTTTACAGCCAGTTCAAAACTATAAAATGTTACGTATCATATACAGAATGCAAAATATATAAAACCACAAAAGGACAAATCCTTTGTTTTATTTTTCAAGTAAATTTAATTTTGCGAGTTCATTTCTATGATTAAGTAAGTATTTTCATATATAAACACAATTCATGACACACGATTTAAAGACTGATATGGATTGTTTCAAACATTATAAACAGGAGATCCATATTTCCACATTAAATGTTATTTTTGTAATAGAATAAATTTACTCAGGTAAAGTTTCATAACTTTGGGGTCGCAGCAATAAACGAGTGCTAGATGTACTGCTGAAACTATCTCCACTGCTATGATTACTGGCTGGGGTTCCAGGCAAAGAACTGGGATTTTCTAAGTTTACTACAAGTGAATGACAGTTAGATTTTAAAGCATCAGAGGAACTTTCTGATTTATACATAGGATCTGAATTTCGTTTGCTTTTATCGTGTGTACAGTTGGAGTCACTTTCTGATATGACTGATTCATCAACAACAGCATGTCGTTCTCTGTTAGATTTATGCTTCCCAATAACAGGATATTCACCTCGAACTTTACCAAGTGAATCATTAACACTGCTTGGTTCCATACCTTGAGGTGTATCCAAGCTAGTATCCGTACCCTGATCAACAAGAATTGTTGTACTTGGATCTTCTGGTGTATAGTAATCAGAATCTTCTCCTCCTGGTGATGTATCTAAAAATAAAAATAAATAAATAAATAAATAAGTACACATACAAATAATTGAATTAAAAACTATTACAGTTTTATTTGAAGTATACTTTATAATATCATTGATAAATAAAACTACAACATATGTTTTGACAAATGAGCTACTGAGATCAAGAGAAAGAAACCATGTTAACTGCTCTCTTTTTTAAAAATAAATGCTTGTTAATATAACAATAAAATATAGGTGTAGTTTATCTTTAAACATATTTCAAAAAATGTTTTGACCCCATTTTCACACCTTTAATAACATTTATTACACAAAATAATTTATTTTGTTACTTATGACCTCTTGCCAGCACGATGGTACTTTGTAAGTACTTTAAATACTATTTTTGAAAAATGTGTTCTCCTTTGAGGCAAATTCAAGTAGTGCTTGGCTGACATCTGCTTCAGTTTTGAAATCCCCCCCTTCAAAAAATTTTGCAAGCAGAGGAACAAGTGATAACTGAAGGGTGCTAGTTCTCAGAAGTATGTCGGACATGGCTGGATTTCTCAGTTAACGATTTTCTGATGAGTAGCTGAAGCAGCATACGGTCTGGCATTGCCATGGTGCAGTATGCTATGCTTTCTATTAAACATCATCACCCTCTTTTCTTTAACTGTTTTTTTTTTAAATCATCCATTTGCTGAAGAGATCTTTCCAAATTCAGCTTTTCGTTAGGTTTCAAAAGCTTATAATGAATTGTTCCATCATACACAGAGCATGCTCTTATTCAGGCTCAAGCTCGGTTTAGAGGTGGCTGGTTGTCTGGGCTCATAGTATGCTATTCTCCTAGTAATATTTTCATGGGTAATCCACTTTTCATCACCAGTTATTATCTGATCCAAGAAAGGTTTGTTTTCGTTTTGAGGAAGCAGAGATATGCATATGATGATTTGATCAGGCAAATTTTGCATACTTATCTCCCATTCGGAATATTTATAAACCGATCCTAGTTTTTGAATATAGTCAAAATAATTTGTTGAGCTGAGCTAAGCTTTTCCACAATCTCTGATGTTCTGAAAAAAAAAAAAAAAAAAAAAAAAAAAAAAAAAAAGGATATAGCTCTATCATGGTCTTGACAATTTGATCATTGATTGAAGATGGCTATCTAGGTTGGGTTACCATTAAGGGAGAAATCGCTTACGGTATGACCTGAAACTGAATTTTCAACAAAAACTCGCTAAACTGCGACAAGCTTATGTAGCATTTCTTCCTTATTGGACTTCATAGAAACTTATTGGAATTATAGAAATGAACTTTAGTGGTAACCATGCTAACATGATCATGTCTCACTTAATAATGATATGAGGCACTTTTGTTTCAGTTAATTTAGGAGTACATGTACATAAATGCAATGATAAAGAGAGACAATCATGTGTCTCATATGAACATGTAATTACATGCTGAAATTTAAAATAACATTATCAAATAGAATATTTCTGGTAGATCTTGTATATACACATCTCAGTTTTTAAACCTGTAAGAACATCAATGGCTTTAGCACCATGAGCACATAAATGAAGTATTGAATATGCCAATGTTGCTTTAATTTTATTGCCAAACTTTTAATTGATATGCATTCTGAATGCAATATCAAGTAATATATGACAAGTATGAAATTCAGGGGGACTACTTATAATTAGTTTGAACAAATTAATACCAAATGACTTAATTAAGTTAAATTTGCTCAAGTATAAATTGCAAGCTAAAAAATCAGTTTTTTTCTTCTCCTTTCTTTTGTAATTTAATAAAATGAAGAAATATTTCTTATTTGTTGAAACATCATGGCGGTTCTAATGCATTTTACACATAAAATTTTCCTGTTTCCTACCATAAGTCAAGCAAGGATTTCACTGTCTTCAAGTTAAATGCAGACATGAGAAAGAGCTGTAGGTAGTCAGAATGGTGCAGAATAAGATATTTCTTTTTGTAAAATGAAGTGTAAAAAGAACTCTATAAAATGAAGTTGTAAGCAGAAAAAATTTCAATTATATAAAAAAAATAATTATTTGAAAATTTAAAATTATTTGAAATTTGATTATTTATTAAAAATAAATTATTTGAAAAGTGAAAAACTTATTTACTGAAAAAAATTTGCACAATATTTATTAAATATCAGCAAATGTTTTCATCTATTAAATACATATTAACTTCAACTCGGATATTACAGAATACACAGATTCTTAGGATCTGGGAGTTCATGTTATGGGACAGTAATCCAAGAGGGAGAAGGGGAAACTCCACATTCTGAGGCTAAATACTAAACTACTAATTCTGAAGATGCAAATAAAATTATAAAAAGAGAACTAAAATTTTGATATTTCTACAACATACAGCAACAATGATTTTTGGCCCTCAGTGTTTTTAAAAAAGCAATTTTCTTTACAATTATAATGCAACTAATTTATCACTCAACAATTAAAATTGCATTTAGAAAAGTTTTTACATGTGTTTGCGTTATGTAGGGGATGCTTATGCTATAAGTTTGTAAAAGTGCTTGTAGACATTATACTGCAGGCAAATTAATGATTGCTAGTAGAATACTTTACCCCCCCCCCCCCGGTGCAAGAATTTTGCATCATTTTTCATAAAACTTATTTTTCACAATACTTCTTAAAACCCTCGCTGCGCATCCTGCGATTTCCATAGGCAATGTAGAAGTAGCAAAACTTGCGCAACCCGTGATTTTCCGCGGGGATGAATTTTTGCAGTCTATTTAACTTGCAATCTGCTCTTTCCCCCGTTCAAGGTTTCCTTTCGGCTTTTCTGTGATGTTTCATTGTTTATTTAGATGTGGGCTAACAGATGGCATTAGTTGTCCACATTTCTGCCAAATAGACAAGAATACGTAATGTAGCATTCTGCGTGTGCTTTTCAGGTAGGCAGGAAGCGTTTCGTGAGTGAAATAACCTATATTCCTGATGATATTTCCGACACTGATAGTAATTCTGACTCTGATTTTAAGTATAATGAAGATAGTTATAGCGAAACCGATGAGAATTTTTCGGATTCCTTAGCAGATAGTGATGAATCTGAAAATTCAGTTTCTATTGAAAACGTTCGACAGTGGTGCAAAATTGATATACATGATTTGATTTATTGAAAAAAATTGATATATATAATATATAGTTATGTTTTACCTTTGTATTTTATAAAATAAAATAATTTAACCAATATTAATTTTCTAAATTTTCCTTTTATATCCTTATTCTTCACTTTCAGTATTCTGACAACCTTTTTCTATGATCTAATTCTATATTGAAAAAAACTCTTTCACAAAAATTTGTGTATATTTTAACTCTAATAATATTTTAACTCTAACTAAGGCTAATACATGTAGATTTGAAATATATAATAAAATAAATACACAATTTTTGAACCTATTTTAATAAAAAAAAAGTACGCAGTGAGAGGGTTAATAGTTTTCTTCCTGTATATGCTGTTAATCTTCTGGAACGAAACAGAAAAAGTATCTTAAATATCAGCTTTTTGCAAATTAAGTGTATTCACTCTATTGCAAGTTGAAAGTCAGAAACAATAAACAGAAAATGACAGACAGAGGTGATTCCAAATGTTTTTCACACTTAAAGGCCTTTGGGTGAATAGGAATTACATAATTACAAGGAATTACGTAATGGTATTGCCCTTTTTCTGAAATGAGTAGCCTTCATTCATTTTATTGAATGGTGCATACAGAAACCTATACCAAGAACTACTGGAAGAAATTTCTTACTATCTTCAGGTAAAGAATGGAATGGCAAGCAAAATATGATGATATTATTTTGTGTCAGTTATTAATTTTAGCAGAAATTATCTCAGCAACCGGAACATTATCACCTTCAGCTCAGGAAGCCAGTAACTTATTAATAACTAATGCTGGGAACTTTTTTTATATTCAGTAAATGAGTTAGGCTTTAAAATAAAGCATCGGATAACAATCAGAAACCTGAATTTCGAGTTGTGGACATTTTAAAAAAAAATTTGGAATATGGGGTTCACAACTCTTTCATATATCAATAATTACAGTTGAGGATTCACTGCAGCTGTATATGTTCTGATGGGGCAATTTGCTAATTAAATTTAGTACAATGTACAATAAACTTAGAGTATTACAGAAATTTTTACCTTTACTAGATTTTTCACAAAGATGCAAAGAATGGGGTGTAGAGAGTGAAATGGGACTGCTTCTACTGCAAGGCCTGCTTGTTTTTGGTGATGATGAAGTAGTGGCTGAACTTTCTTCCATAGCAATATTACTTTCCAAAAGGGACCTTGTTTCTGCTAATTCAGCATCCTTTTCCTAAAAAAAATATTAAATATAATATTAGAAATACAGATATGAGGAATACAAAATGATAAAAAGGAAAGCTAAACGAATGGATTACATAGGCAGCATTTTGGGCTATGCATTATTTGTTTCTTTTGCATTACTTCTTATTTATGAACTTATTAATTTCTATAGTTACAAAAATAATGCTTCTTCAAATAAAATTTAGAATGGAAGAATTTTTAGAATCATGTATGTTAAAAGATGAATGCAAAAAATGACAAAAGATTATATTTAAATGGCACACAAAATTTCAACTAAAAAAAAAATCTTTAGAAAGCTAAGTCTTTACATGAAGTTAAAATATATTGTTATAAATTCACATAACTTTTATAAAACAATTGCTTTCATTTATTAACTTCAAATTCAATTTTGTTTCATCAATTAAACTTAAAAATACCTATTTTTATCCCATACTCTGCTATCAAATTTTGATAAATTTGTTTCATCAATAAAACTTGCAAATACCCATTTTTATCCCATACTCTGTTATCAAATTTTGAAAGCTGATACAACCAGAGCTTTTTCATACTTAAAGGCCTTTGGGTAAAAGATGCACAAGAATTATTGAACAATCAGAGTACCAGAGTATTAAGATTATTTAAACAATCAAAAATTCAGTAAATGTTGCAACAACCTCTCAGGTTTTGGGATTTGGACTTGGGTTTTAAAGAATACATATTCTTGGTATCAGAGATCATGCACATTACAGAACCTAAAGTATGGGAGAGGCAGACTCCACATTCAAAGCTTAATTACCAAACTGTTAATCAAGAAGAGATTAAGATATTATAGAAGAAGTAAAATTTTGAGATTTCTAAAATTACAGACACATCAATAACAATTTTTGGTCCTTATTTTTCAAAAGACCAATTTCTGTACAACTATGAGGTAAATAATTTATCACTCTGTAATTTAAATTGTATGAACTAATACTGTGAATGGTTATCACAACCACATTTAATACTGAACACCTTAAGAGAGAAAACACATAAATATACAATAATTTACAAAATAAATCATAAAAATCATTTTTAAGATGTTATGTTATACTGTAACATTTATTAATTAGTTGAAAGAAGAAAGCTATATAGCAGCTTTGCAAAGTGAGACATAAGTTTTGTAGTCAGTAAGTATTATGTTAAACTTTTTATACTAAAATATATACTCTTTATGACTAACAATAATTATATTAATAATACTTACCATTTTACGTTTTGCACCACCAACTTCATTCACAATCTGCATGGAGTTAGCTAGCAATCGCATTTTTTCTGGAGCAGATGATGTTCGAAACCCTTTTCTATGTCTTCTGCCTTCACTTCTTGTCAAAGAAAGAGATTCCGTTTTTAGAACAGTTTTATCTGGAGAAATCATTGATGCTACGACAACTTCAGGAACTGAAGTACCTTCTAAACTTCCTTGAAGCTTATCAGAAGATAAATCATCTTTATCAGAACTAGCATTCTCACCAAGTCTTAGAGAAGCAGTACTTGAATGATGTCTGCAAGTTTGAAACATTAATTCCGATTTAATGCAATAATTATATTTATACATAAAATTCTACTTATGATCTGACAACTTATGCCGTAAAATATCAATATCCTTAATGACTGAATTTTGCAATTTCTAATTACCTCTCTAAATGACGATGCTTCTGACGGAGATCTGGGCTGTTTGCAAAAGGAGGAATAGGCTGAGGAACTAAACAGTACATACACATAATGTAATTATTGATGAACAAAACATGTAACGAAAGAACAATTACAATTTGAATCAAACTCTTATTTTTTAACTTCTGCATTAAATTATGAATTTAAGTACATTAAAATTGCATATTTATACTTTGTTTCAATAATTTAAATCTATCACTAGAATACTAAAATTAAGAAGCTACCAAATGATGGGACAAGAGGTGCAGATGGCTGAACAGGTCCGTTCAGAGCTTCAATGAGTGACACAGGTTCATATCCAGGAGGTATGTCTTGAGAAGGCTAATCAAAATGCATATATTTATATAAACATACATGAAATAAACATACAGCATCAGAGAAAATAAAAAATGTAAATGAATTTGAATTGTAAATCATATGAAAAATTGAGAGGTTTACTTGGTTTTCAGCATTGTGGCCAACTTGTGGTATGGCAGCATTAGATTTCCTTACAGCTCTTATTTGTAATAATGCACGAAAAGGAGCACGACAAATGGGACAATTATTCGCTTGATAACGCAATGAATCTGCACAACTGACACATAAGCAAAGATGACGGCAAGGCAAAATCAGAGTATCTCTCGCATCACTCATGCATATCACACATTCCGAGCCACTGTCCTCAACATCTTCATCAGTTGCATCCTGGAGAAACATACAAATTTGCTGTCAATTGTACATGCTTTTTAAAAGGTAAATTATCTATATTGCAGGGTCTAAGTTTTGCATTTAGTTACTTAGATGTTTGGCTTATGCCTTAAAAATATTTTCTGAAATTTCGATATAAAGGCTGGATTACAAAGTTAAACCTTCTTTAGATGCAAACGAAAATTTTCTCGTGTAACAATAAAATTTTTGTTAAGGGGGTATTTAAGTAAGCCTTACTTTTTTCATTTTGGCCCTCACTTTTTAAGACAGCAATATTCCATATAACTATTAAGAGAGACCACATATAAAACAATCACAAAATACAGGATAAAAATGAATTTTCAAGATGCTATGTTAAATTATAAAATCTATTTAGTTAAAAGTACAAAGTATTACAAATGTTTTTTTGCAGAGAGACATGAATTTTGGTATCAGTATGCATATATATATATAGATATGCTCTTTATAATAAAAGTTGGGAAAGGAACAGGCAATGCATTGCAATTTGCATAACAAATCATACAAAACATTATTTAAACACAGGAAATCTCAAAAATGCATTAAAAAAGATAAAAAATTAATTTTATACAAATAATACATGTTTGTCTGTTAACAATATGTGTACAACATAAGTACCAGGTTTTTCAGTAAATACAATGCAAGTAATTTACCTTTGATTGATAAACATTCTTATTTTCAATGCCATATATTTCTTGCAGAAGATAACAAAGACCATCAACAAACAACTTCTGTTTCAAAGGTTTAAGAGTATATGTTCCATCAACATTTTTTTCAACTACAGCTATAACCACATGAGACTGCCGCGGTTCTAAACAAAAATTAAAAATGTTAAGAGGGGAAAAAAAAATTAAAATTACAGAAAGTTAAATTACATTTCAAGATAATATGTTACATTTTCAGTTACAGACCATTGTTTTAATATTATTGTATATTAATTAAAGAGTATTTAACATTTTAAAATACGGTTTATCCATTTTCAATGTAAATAATATTTAAACAATTCTTTTGTTCACTCATCTTTTTCCTTAATATTTAAACATGTTCATTCTTGACAGCTTAAGTTCCTCACATTTCCTATGTGTTTTGGCAGCATACATATGGAACATAAACTTAATGTGATCTTACATACCTGTAAACTACTACTTTTCCAAATATTGAGAAATCAATTTTCTTTGCAACAGAAGGCTTTTTAGCAACAATAATTTTGGTACTTTCTGATAATCTGCACTGTCCTGAAAAAGTATTCATGTTGTAACATGCTACATGACTAAATAAGCAACCTACGACCTTAGCAAAATGAATTTATGCAATAACCCAGGCATGCAGATGCATGCAACACAAGCACAAGAGCCATTAATGCTTGTTTTTGTTGCATCTGGTTTTTTTCCCTCCCTGGAAGGCATCAAAATGAGACCATGAAATTTGTTGAGCGATGAAAAAAAACATTGCATTCCTTCAGAAATATGGCAGTTTGCATAAGAGTAGAGAATTAAAAAGTTCACATTTTATGAGGTTGTAACTTCATAAATGACCAAATTTTATGGATCAAAATTTTCGCACCGATGGCAAATTTGTGAAATTCTTTGATTTTTTTAAAGCAAAAACAGATGACTGTGTACATGGGTTGGTTTATTTTATAAGGCAAAGCAAGCTAGGACTTGCTGCCTAAAGGAAGGGATGCATTTGTGGATGGAAGCATCTAACAGAAAATTCCTTTCTAAGGGGAAGTAGCTCATTTCTATATTACACATGGGG